CCCAGAATTCCCCAGCCAGCCATTCTGGGAGTTGAAGTCCACTCATCTTAAAGTGGCCAAGTTTGGACAACACTGCCTTAGTGGTATGGAACAACTGTTTTTATTTGAATTTGGTCCATAATTCTCTTAAAGACTCAGCAGGTCAGCCAAGAAAAGAAGTCCAGCACCTGACTCAGGTAAATAACAGATGCTATGAAGCTGCAGGAAGAGGAAGATTTGTAACTGAAAAGGAATTGCAGATTGCAACCCCTCTGTAGTGTAGCTGCTGTCAGAGAGGAATTGTGATGGTCTACTCTGTAATCAATTTAAAACAAACAAACAAAGCAAGACAGAGATTTTATATTTACCTCTGTCTCCTTGGCACTTTTCAGAGATGTCATATTATATGTCCTATTATCCACAATCAATCCTAGAATAATGGGAGTTGCAATCATTACACTTGGGGAAAACCCTGTGGAAAGATGATTTTCTGATCTGATTTGTACGTGGATCCATCTCCTTTATTCCTCCTTGTAAATGTTAATGAAGCTTTTCCTAATTTTCTTTCAAAATGATTCTGTATGTGTTTATGAATGTTACCATTGTTCATTTATTGTTGTACTATTGAAGCTAACCCTTAAACAGAATGCATGCCGGCGGCAGTGAAGAGGAGAGTAAAATAAAACTATAATATTATGCACCCATTAAAGGAACGGAACTCAAAGGTGTTCTTTTTAGAAAAATCAAATGCAAAACTAACCTAAGGCTATTTGTGGGTTGCAAACATCCGGATACAAAACATCTCAGATGGCACAAAGCATTTAGCTTCCTGCATCTCTTTGATGCTATCTAGTGGTCTCGGGATTTCTACACCAACAACCAGGAGAGCAGCATTTCTCACTCTTGGGAGCTTTAAGATGTGTGGACTTCAACTCCCAGAATTCCAAACACATCTTAAAGCTCCCGAGAGTGAGAATTGCAGCAGAGAAAAAGAGCGAACGTGAAACGAAGGGTAAATCCGCAACGGGAACCTTGGGGAACGCGTCAAACAAAAGCGCCCTTCCAGGTCCCGCCCCTCCGCCAGAATAGCGAATCAGGAGGCGGAATTTAAAGAAAACGCCTACTCTGTTTTGCCTCGTCCTAGAGGGGTCCGCCAGTCCTTCTCCTTCCGGCGACTCATCTAACTGGGACCGCTGACAGGCAAGATGGCAGCTCCCGGAGACGGGGAGGCGGTGTGGAACCGGTGGGATGTGCCCTGGCCTGCTTGCAATGCCGCCGAAGCCGCGCCGGCCGAACACGCTGCAGGTTAAGGCAGAGCTTTCAACGCGGAGCATCTTTGCGTTTCGCATTAAGTTTGAGTGATAGATAAGCACGATCGCTGCGGAAGTTTCTGTCTTGTCTGTTTTTTTGGAAACACAGTTTAACAGGTTTTTGGGTGGTGGGATTAAAATATTATCCAGCAGGTTTGAGCTTGAACCAACGTAACATATGCATATGATTGTTACAAATGAAGGGAGATGCGTCGTTCCATTAAAAAAAAAATCTTAACGTTTTTGGATGTCTACGATTGTAATTTGTTTCTAATCGATTTTAGTGGAAGCACCTTCTCTCTTAACATTAGACAAAGTGTGTCTTAGAAGTGTTTAACTTGGATGACTTATGCTCTTAGGTTTTTCAAGTGTCAATTAATATAGGGTTAATTGAGTAAACTGGGGTTAACTTGATGGATAAACACACATGAACATGCACAACACTGAAAAAAACTAACCAAGCACATTCAACTGTCATGTGCTGCATGAAGTCAGCCTTTGGTATTATAGTTCACTGTGATGCAAACACAAAAGTTGGATTAATTGAATAAGCAGTGGTTTAGTTAAACATGGATAAATGTGCCATGCCTCTGTATGTGGCAAGTATCTGAAATTCCATGCCAGGAAGTAAGCAAAGTGGCCAAAGGATACAGTGTCTTGGACAGAGTCCAGATGGGCTGCTTGAAGGGAAAATTTCCCTAGTGCAGAAAGCAAATTCAGAATTCTCCAGCTCCTTTGCTAACCTGCTGTGGACAACTAACTAACTTAGGGTTTTCCAAACTGTGAGGTGCACCTCCCTAACCCTTGGAAGTGCAGACAGGGTCCAGGGAAGGTGTGAAGAACTTTTTAGTTGTACATTGTTACAATAAATCCACCTTTGTTAGAGTTTCATTGTATTGTTTTCATAGTTCATTTGTGTTCATTTGATTTTTAGGGGAGGTGTGCTCATTAAGATTACACTAAAGGGAGCTGTGATGGCAAAAAGTTAAGGAACCCCTGAACTAACTGATACTGAGATTTGAGATCCACCTCCTTTGTTTCTGGTTTATTGAGTGAATTTTTGCACTTTCATATATTGATGCCTGTGTTTATATTGTCTAGTGATATGCCTTTCAGCCGTTCTGAAGAGATGTTGGGCTGTTGACAACATGTTAAACAGCAAAATGCTGGTTGCAGAACAGAGCCTTCTCCATTCAATCATTTATAATTTCCATTATCAGATGATCCATCAAAGGGCCTATGGGAGTCTTAAACAGGTTGGTAGAACCTTTTTGGAAATCTTCTTGATTAAATCTTTTTACATTTTAAACTAATTATCAAGGTTTGAAATTATGCTGTCTTTTAAATGTGTAAGAACCATGTACAGGTGGCATCCAGTAATTCTGCTTTATGGATTCAAGGCCTTCCATAAGCAAAAATGCTGAATTTACCCATTGTGTCATCCTTACTAGAGGAGTAATAGTAGTAGGAGTGAAAAAAATTCCAAAAGTAAGAATAAAAAGACTTAGCTAGCTATAGCCAACATTTGGAAGCTGTTATTTCTGCCAAAGGAGGTATTATGTAATACTGACTGTAAGGGTGTCCAAGGTTTTGCACCTGCTATATTTATTTTTTAAAATTTTGAATCTGTAAACAATTACACATAAATAGTATGCATTCAGTTTTGCAGAAAGTTGTCTTGCTTAACTTTTGAACATGTAGAGGTTGTTCCTGTTCACTTATTGAAACATACATTTTGAACAAGTTAAGGGTGCTTGCAACTATATATGCTATGAATGTTATAGAACATGTGAAGAATCTGGTTATAATTAATATAAGTAAAAATTAACATTTGATTCATTTACATCTAGTGCTAAGCGTATTTCTTTGGAAATAAGAATGCTATCAATTTGCTTGCTTTTTAATATCATAGGCCATTGGCAACCTTTTTTTACCTTTAAACTTTCAGGTAGAACAGTGCTTGAAGCGCTTAAATTTAATGAATCTGGAAAAGTCAATTCAAGAAATTGCTCAGATAGGCCTCATGTAAGTAGCTTGACAGCATGTCTATGTGATTCTATAGTTTTTATTAATAATTCAGTATACCTAATGTAATTTAGAAGAAAAATGGAGGAATAAAATCAACTGAAATTCAGACTATTTTTGGTCAGCAGTGTATCTTGTTTGGCCGGCTGCTGTGTAGAACAATGGTATCTTTCAAAGCACACTGAATTAATCAGTAGAAGATTTAAAAAATGTATTATAAAAAAAATTGCATTGAAAGGAACAGCCTAACCACATGGTACTGTATTTCTCTGCGAAATTGATTATTATCGTTCTTTGTAATCTCATCAGCCATTAATATATTGGAAGACTTAAGATGTTTTTGAGGAAAAACTAAAAACCAGGAGTAAAATCCTAAAAGAAACTTGAGTTCACAAACAACAGTATCTTTAATAAGGATGGGCAATAACTTAGGATTCAAAGGCAAAAAGGTGCTTCACAGAATACAAAGATGCAAATGTAGCGCCTGTCTGGAACTTCCTGATACTGTGTGGCTGCCATCTGCAGCCACTGTGTGATCCAGGAAAAGGCTCAATTGATTTAAAGAGTTGCAGACAGGTGGTATTGCATAGTCTGCTGTCAGTGTAGGTCTGCTAATCTGGAGTTTGTTGTAGTTATCATATCAGCTTGTGACAAAGCAGACTCAGGAGAGAGCAGTATTCGGTACATCATGATACAAGCACATCTACATGTTCTTCTCTATTTATTTTAAATAGAAAACAGAGATCTGAAAATCCTAAGGAGTCCTTGGTCCCCAGCCAGCCTGTGATAGAAGTTGTTCTGGTGAAGATACTGGGTAGTTGCAAGCTTGTACTACGTTTACTTGAATGTTGTTGTACTGCATTTACGTATCCTTCCAAAAAAAGATTTTTACAGGTTTTATTCATTACTAGTTGTGCATCAGATTTCTGGTCTTAAATTTTTGCAGTTCTCTAGCATCATAATTTAGTGTAAATAACTTTGATTACTCTTAACTGTCTGAACACTCTGAGTTCACTGAACTGAGTAACTATCAAATAGACATTTAACTTGGATTTCTAGCTTTTTTGGAATCATTATCCAGCCTTAACCAACATGTTTCTCAGTTTAATTGTTAAACATCTGTGTTTGGAAGAGTATGTATTGTTCAATACTTTGGTTCTGGGGTTGCTGAGTCGGTTATGGTATGTACACCTCTTAAACATTTTAACTGTTTCATTACTGCTTATTCATTTACTTGTTTATAGCGAAGATTCTGCTTACCTGTTTCTTGCCAAGGGTGCCAATGGCTGTCATGTTAGATGGGGGGAGAGGGTACCAATGGGTATCGTACACACTGCAATTAATAAGGTTCCAACTTCATTTATTGCTATGGTGCACTGGTAAACGTGGTGATGGAGGGGCACTAAATGGCAACTTCAGAAACTCCGGTGCTTTCTTTCAGCTGGGTTGGGAGGTAGAAGGAACATATTTTCTTGTTGTCCTTTATTTATTTTTCCCTAATTGGTTTTGTGGAAGAAACTTAAATATGGCAGGTGCAATTAGTATAGACCTGGTCTTGGGGACTGTTTATGGGTCAGGGGCTTTTATATGCAGATCAAAGGCTTCCCTTTTCTCCAAATGCTCAATTTGGGACCTTCCCTCTGTGCAAAAAAAATGTTTGGTAGCATACCTTAACTCCAGTAAACTTTTTGTAATATACAGATGGCTTTGGGTTATGTACTGCCCAACCATTGGAATTCATTTTTTTCAAAGATGGAATTGCAGTGTTTCTCATTGAGTTAGAATTGCTCTGTTATCTGGTAACTACACCCGCTTTGTTTCAGATAAATAAAATAGTCAGACATTCTGTCCAAATTAGGCAACTGATTCTTCTGATTCCCTGATTTTTCTATCCATCTGCCCTCCTTTGCTTTTGATTAGGCAAACATGAATTCTGATTGTGTGTGTGTGTGTGTGTGTGTGTGTATTATCCTAATTAAGTAAGGCTCATAGCAATTCAGATCCATACACTGCACTAGTAACTAGCGTTTTCAAGAATTCTAAGATGCTACTCTAATATTTAGAAGCTACTCACCCCTTCCAAAGTAGAGAGTGGAGGGAAAAGCATTGATAAATGTCTTAGCCTTAATCACTGCTGGAACAAGGAAGTGAGTTTTTTAAATAGATACTGGATCCATTATGGGATCAGAGTAATCTGTTCCTTGTGATATACAGTATTTTAGATGGAAGCAGTGCAGAATCCTGGTGTCCCATAGACATCTGGCCAGTAATAGAGGTTATTTAGTATCAGTTTTGTAAGGGGAATGTGCAGGAAGAAGACTGATCAAGACCTAGAGAAAAATTCAGAACACTGACATGGGGAAACTTTGTTTCCTGTTTTCTTTGCATTTTTTAAAAGCATATGTTTGGTCTCTAGGCTTATTACTTGGCAAAGTCCTTTTTACATCCTACTGAATTTATTTGCGTCAACCTGCATTTCTATTAGGACTGTTTTTTATATAATAGTATAACAATTTCATATAAATCAATAGATTTATGTTGGCAAGCTCTATCATGCTATATTATAGTAAACTCCTTGTGAAAGAATTACTGATTCATGTTATCTAAGGGGATAAAAATGCTGAAATGTGTAGGTTTGGGGAAAGTTGTCATGCTTTTTAATTAAGGAGAAGTGTAAGGAATAATTGTTTCAAATTTTAATTTTTCTTCTGGGCTAGTCTTAATTTTATTGCCAAAGTTTATTATGAGACAATACTGGTTAGTTCATACTGAATTGGAGATCTTAGTGAAAATGAGAACCAAATATGGAAAATATGTTACCCAACACTCAAGTGTTCCTTTTCTCTCTCTGTTTCCTTTATTATTCTAGGATTCTTTATAGAGCTGTATTAAAAAACCTTAGTGCATTATATAAGGATCTGTTTGAATTGCTTCAAGAAGTAGCAAAAATGCACCAAAGACCATATATTAAAGGATTTGTCTTTCCTTCTGAAATAAATGATTTTCTGGGAACCAGTTCTTTAGAGATTAAGAAGAAAATGCCTAAAGCATTTATAGAAAAGAAAGCTGGAACTGGATGGATGAATACATTTTTTTCAGTAAAAAAGACTACATCTCAGTCTCAGATTTTGAGTGCAGTAGTTCCACCAGCAGTCAGGAAAAAGAAAAAGAAAAGGAGGAAGGGTACCCAAAATACTTCTGATATTGGAAAACCAGTTTTGATCAACAGAACTAATCAAGGTAACTAGTAATTACTTCTTAATTTACTTGAATAGTTGAGGAACAATCACACACATGCTTATATTACAGCACTGTGTGCAGATTTTATGCCTTTGTAACTTGTATTGAGTAGGAAGATCTGTGTAATGGATATGCATGTAGATTACCCTTTCTCTTAATAGAGTGGAGAATGACTGCAAATAAGATGGGCAAAGGGAGGGAGGGATGGAAATTGCAAATACTTAGATATAGCTCATAGTTCTTTGGAACTAGACTATTGGATATCTAATGGCAAAACCAGAAATTCAGTGCAAGTTACACTAATGTATAATTTATTAAACTTGTATGCTACCCGACATCAGCGACTCTGGGCAGCTCACAACTAACAAAGAAATTACAATAAAATCAATAAAAGATAAAAGATGGCAAGCATGATAGACCAGATGGAATGAAGTGAGGGGTCTCACTGTCCCTCGCCAAAGGCCTGGGTGAAGAGCCAGGTTTTGCTCTTCTGAACAGCAGCAGATTGGCAAACATCTGGATCTCAGGGGGAACTTCATTCTAGAAGGCAGGTGCTGCTACAGAGAAGGTGTGCTTTTGGGATCCTGATAGATGACATTGTTTAATCCAAGGAACTTGGAACATGCCAATCCTGCAAGATTGAAGTGGCCAGGCTGATTCTGTAGCAGATTCAGTGATTTAAACCTATTTTTGGTCGAAATCATTTACCTGTTCTTAGTTTGATCTCAGTGCCTTTTCTTTTAGATCTTGCAAAGAAGTTGGAGTTTGATCTGAAGACCTTATGCAAATATCCTAATCCTGTGCCACAGGAGGTTTGTTCCATTCTGTGCTTGTGTGCTGTAGACTTGTATTTATTTATTTGCTTGTATTTGTTTGTTTATCCCACCTTTATTTTGGGTCAAGTCAAGGCAGTGTACATACTTAATGCTCCCATCTCCTATTTTATCCATAACAACAATCCTATACAGAGACTAATTGGCCCAAAGTCATCCAGCTGGCATAGTCCATATGGTTTTTCTTTATATGTCATATAAAGACATGTCTATCTGTGCTTTGTAATTTTTCATGTGTATGAATAAACATGTTTATCCATCTATTTTGTAAATAGGGTTAGTGATTTAATTGTTAAGTTTGCGTTGTGGAATTCTATTCCATTGAATATGGATTTATAGAATCTCAAGAATGTTTTGGGATTGTTGACCATAGTTCAGTGGTCAGAAATATACTATTCATGTGGAAGGCTCCATTTTGATTCCTGCTGTCTCTCATCCTTGTTCGGTGTCTTTGGAACTGGCAAAACTTTTGAATGAGCCTATTCCTAGTTAAAATAAGCAGCTTGACCAAATGTTTAATTTAGTGGTAGACAACTTCATATTTTAATCAGGTCTTCAGTAGAATTTTCTTGGTCACCAGAAATGGTGCTGATTTTTTTAAATATGAAGAACAGATAACACTTCACAATTGCCCTGGAAACTACTTTGATGTGCATTTTTGGAGGTTGTTCAAAAAGCAAATTTTTAAGACTCCAAAGAGACATTTTTTCATGGCCAACATTTGCCTTAATACAAACTCTAAACCATTTTTTAAAGTGGTTAAAACTATGACCTGTTTAATTTGTCTCCTTCTAGGTGCTTTTTAGCCAAGGATGCTGTGTGTTAAAGTTTATTCTGAGGCTTAGTTATTTTTAATTATTAATCTTTTCCAGTGTTAATTTCTTTACTATTCATTTGATTTCAGAATTCCAAATTCAGGAATATGCTTCCTGAGTCAAAGGGAATCACATCTATTTCTTCTAAAGCCCTGAGATCTCAGCATCTTCACTCTTTTGTGTCCAAGTTTAAAGAAGTGCAGTCCTTTGAAGAATTATCTGAGGCACTGAAAACAACAATTATCTGGTGTAAAAGCAATAAATTTGGATCAGGGGCTTTCTTCTTAGGAATGAAGCTTTTAAAAAGCAAGAGGCTACAGCATGTGGAAGCCCAAGGTTGCAGGTGTGTAGATTGTTAGTCCTGGTCTTTTGATATCTTCTAAATAAGCTCTGTGTAATCCTGAAATATAGGTAGTCCTTCATTAGCGACTACTAATTCAGCAACTGTTTGAAGTTACAGTGGTGCTGAATGAGGGGGACTTATGATCAGTCATCGAAGTTGCGGCTCTTGCAGTGTCGCTGTGGTCATGTGATCACAGTTTGGGCACTTGGCAACTGGCTTGCAATTACGACAGTTGCAGCATCCCAGAGTCACGTGATCGACATTTGCAACTTTCCCTGCTGGCTTCCCACAAGCAAAGTCAGTGGGGAAGCTGGCAAGAGGTTGCAAGTTGCTTCTGCAAGTTGCTCCCGCTGCTTTTTCTCCTGAGGAGCCCCGGGCGGGTATGGGGATCTCGTACCCATACCCGTACAGTGCCTGTCTGCAGCACCCACCCGCCTACCTGTACTCCATAGCGCCTGCCCACAGCACCTGCCTTCCCATACTCCATAGCACCCACCCACCTGCCCATTCTCCATAGCACCCACCTGTAGCTCTTGCCTGCCAGCCTGCTTGCCTGGGACTCAGTTTTAGCAGCATAAGCAAGTGCTTCTGGATTCCCGCCTCTTCCCACATCGCAGTTGCATGAGGTCCTTGCTTAATGACCCACACTATCCTCACTTAGCAATGGCAACAGGGACTCTGGGATTGCTGTTGCTAAGTGATGTAATCACATGACATCACACTTTATGACTGCATTGCTTAGCGATGGAACTTCCAGTCCCAATTACCGTCGTTAAGCGAGGACTACCTGTGCCTAGAAACAGTGGATGTTTCCCACTTTCTTCTCTCTCAAGAGCAATGTACACCTATTACGAGATCCTTGCTGAGAGTTTAGCTCAGTAAAATGACTATTTTTTCCAGAGCTGATTGACTATATTTTGGCATCATGCAAATATGTGTGAGAATATAATTGGTTAGCAAGGGTATGAAAACCTGCATAGTAAAGAAGCCAATCTGTCTTCTTTTTCTTACTAAATTCTTATAGTTACTTAACACTAGATTTCTGTCTTCTCTTTGAAGTTGACAGTATCTTTCTTTTTCAAGCAAGTGAATAAGTTCAGAAGACTGACAGATTACAAATCTGGAACAGATAGAACTATGAGTATAATATACAAATTGCAAAGTAAATTTATCATCATTGCATCCTGCATGATTTTTCATAATGCAGGTTTTGCATAAAGTGTTCTTGGCTTGCTATTTTCTATGGACTATTTGCAGCCCAAACACATTAGAATAATTCTACGCCTATCATTTGATTCTGGGGCTACATAACTGAAGGAAGTTCTCCTGCCTCCATAAATATGTACTAAGAAAACATCAACCGCTTTCCATTCATTCTTCAAAGATCACAGTGGGGACTTACATCCCTTGAGATATTGCTTAACAACTCAGTAGCTCCACCCAGGATGGCCAATGTTGAAGGATGGTGGAAGTTGTAATTCAGCAGTATATAGACTGGGTTTTTCAAACTGTGTTTTGTGTTACCCTAACATTTTGTGAGAACTTGATGGGGTTCTGTGAGAGATAAAGCCCCCCCCCCCAATTCACCTGAATGCAACCAATTTTATTTCCCTAGAGCTTTGGGTTTTAAAAATGTTAATTAACAGCTTCAGTGGCCTGAAAAAGTTTGAAACCCCCCTGATCTAGAGGAGTTGTAATTCAGCAGTATATAGACTGGGTTTTTCAAACTGTGTTTTGTGTTACCCTAACATTTTGTGAAAACTTTATGGGGTTCTGTGAGAGAAAAAGCCCCCCCCCCCAATTCACCTGAATGCAACCAATTTTATTTCACTAGAGCTTTGGGTTTTAAAAATTTTAATTAACAGGTTCAGTGGCCTGAAAAAGTTTGAAACCCCCCTGATCTAGAGGACCATAGGTTCTCCATTTCCCAAATGAATGCTAAAACTATTTGCTTCCCACATTTGTAATATGTAAATGAAACTTCTTTTTCAGTCTGGATATTAATAAAATTAAACTGTGTGAATGGTGTTGGAGCATGCATCTGCATTCATAGTGTTAAACTTTTTCTGTAGCCTGTTTCAGATTTTGATTAGTTGGTAAAGCTCTTCCAAGGTCACTAGAACTTTGCCATGTGAAAAAACTTGATTACACAAAGTGACACGGTTTTACAGACAGTGTTATATCAAAGCATTGCCCTTTGCTGCTTTAATTGCTAATCTCTTTTCTCTTACAGATTGCAGAGGAAACTTGGCTGTGTTAAAGCCACTATCTGTAAATATCTTACACTCCAAAGTTGCAGACAGAAACCCATGCAACGTCTTAGAGCAAGTCCCCAGCAAAGTACTAGACTCTCATGGAAGCAGAGCTGTGTTTCACAGAGTATGTCTGTACATAGGGGTCCTGTCTCTAAGAGAACTGCATCTCCTTTCCTTGATCAGTGCTTTCCACTGTGGATTGCGGACTCCAGTGGTACAAAGACTCTTGAAGAAAGTATCCATGATGACATTTCTGTCCCTGCAGTGTTGGAAAGTCACTGTACCCATATAGAGAAAGAAGCCACTGAACCGAAAGATGACATTGATGCTATTTTTAAAGTTATAGGTCTTTAAGACTACCTTCTATTATACTGTCATAAATGATGCAGTTGAAATGTTATTTCTGTTCCATTATAGCAAAAACAGACAACTGTTCTCAGATTTTGAGGTTTCCTTGCGGTTGTTGAAAAGCAAGTTGTAATTGCTGATGGACCGATACAAAGCATCTCTCAATTATTCATTTTCACAGCAGCGTGTTTTACTCTATTTTATATCTATAAGAGAGTGTTCCTACAGATCATATGAAACTTAAGTTGGAGCAGTACCAAACAAATGCTGTTAAGAATACTTAAGTAGAATTACAATATTTTCAAATAATTCATGAGATGAATGGGCAATGGGGACAATGGTGTGTGTGTGGGGGCCGGGGGGGGGACCAGAGAGAGAGAGTGGAGTGCCTTCAGATGTGTAGCAAGTAGCTGGAACCAAAAGGACCATTTTGTAATATTAGGTGGTTGCAGGTACCATCTGTTTTTAAATATCAGTAAGAATGTGGTTGTGAATCACAGTTAGTATTCTTTAAAGAAATAAGCTCGGCTGGCCACCTCTAGTGTGGGGCAACTTAGAAGCGTCCTAGGTAATGTTTTAGCTCAGAAAGGAGAACTAATTTTTGGAGAAGGGGGAAAGAAATATATAAAGCTTGCTATTTATAGTTATGTATTGGATGTTTGGCCTTTCTATGACAGAACAAGAGTAGCCATTGATAAGGAACAAATTCATTTTAAAAAACTGTTCCATGTCTCTTAAATTTACAAATTCATTTTAAACCAATAGTTATAACCCACCAAAGCTTCAACAGTAAGGATTCATAGAATTACCTCCCACCCAAAAAAAGGGGAAAAAAACCCTGAAAATCACCACCAAAAGCCATAGGGCTTAACTCCTGCATGAGTTTATATTGTGCACTGATACCAAGATTTATTCCTTGGTGTTTCCTTCTCTAACGCAGTGATACAGGGTTTCTGTTTATTACCCTTTTATTTGTTTTATTATGTGTTTTATTATTTGCCTAGAGTTACTTGGACTACTGAAGTACCTTATAAATTGAACAAATAAATATCTGTAGTAGTTTCTTAATGGTGATAATAATTTTTTTCATATCCATCCTACACTTATTCTCTTCTAGACATGCCAAAGGTAACCTCACCTGGCAACAAAGAACAAGAAAAAATACAATTACAATGGCAGAATTTCATGCATTTTCATATGTATGTATATAAAACTAATTCTTTGTATTAGTTTTATATATATATAAAAACTATATATATAGTTTTTAAAAGGAAGATAAAAACTAATACAAAGTAATATAAAGAAAGAAGAAAAAAAGAAATAGTAACTGTAGAGGAAAAAGCTTAAACACCATGTTAAATATAAGCAAATCCAATACACATCATTTTTCCAGTCCAGATATCAGCAAATCCAAAAAGAACTTCCCCCTTCTTTCCCCTTTCTCCAAAAATTAGTTCTCCTTTCTGAGCTAAAACTAATGTTTTAGTTTTAAACATTTAAAACTAGGACGCTTCTAAGTTGCCCCACACTAGAGGTGGCCAGCCGAGCTTATTTCTTTAAAGAATACTAACTGTGATTCACAACCACATTCTGATATTTAAAATAGCAACATGTCCCATTTTGGCCCTGGTCAAATAAACTGACTTTGTATTCTTTCTTCTTAGGCAAAACAAATTTGTTCCTCTTCCATTCAGATAATTGTTGATCCTTATTTTGAATTTCTTTAATACTTTGTACAGCCTCTTCTGTAAGTCCAGCAAAAAGAAATTGTTGCAATTGCTTTCTGGGATTGTCATTTTTATTTCCTTGTTAGTTTTTAAAGCCTCATCCAATGTTTTCTTTATATCTGATGACAAATTCTTATTCCGATTCTTGTTCATGCTATTCTTGGGTAGATTTTGTTGCATTTCTTTTTCTGTAACATCTTCTGGGAACCGACTATTCCCAAGGAAATGTAGCTGACATAAAAAGTCCCTATGTAGATCCTGGTGCAGTTCCTCAAAGATATTTCTGAATGCCATTATAAGTTACGTCTCCAATATCAAAAAGTTTTTCTTTCCCACAAAATTACATTTATTCTTTAAGATTAATTTCAAAGTCTTAATATTCAAAATCCAATATTCCAATGTTT